ATATATATATATAATTCAATTAGCTAATATCAGACATTATATTAGGTAACATGAGATTTGTGCGTAGTTATAGTTACTTAGCTATAACTTAACAGTTACTAGCTTTCACTTTCAGTGTCATGACCTTATGAAGCAGATAAACTCATTGCAAGGTTACCAGAAATGGCAGATATTATAAATTGGTCCTACCTCAAAATGGGTGATTTAGACAACTTCACAGTTTAAATAATAAACTTAATTTTTTTTCTACTAAAAAGCGCTCTAACAAAAACACAAGTCTTACATTAAAGTGCTTACTCCTTTTGCAACGTATAGTTGATTTATTCATTTATTTGTTTGTAATAATAAACCTTGATTATTGCATGTTAATTTGTATTTAGCCCAGATCATCAATTTAACATCCATCATGCAAAATATCTCTAGCCCAAAGAAAGATCTGTGAAAATTTTTTTATATTTCAGGTAAACCTCAAAGAATGTGAAACGTTTGACTTGAAAACATTGAAAGGTCCTTCAGATTACACAGCTGTGGCCAATAGCGCAGAAGCTCTGGAGAAGATCGAAGCCTGCATGAAAACTTGGGTCAAACAGATCGAACAGGTTTCAAATCTGTTACTTTGAAAATGCATTTTAATTCGTGGTATAGAATCTATTATATGAGAGGGTTTGCTTGCAAATAACGTTAGATCTTCCTCAAAATTGTAACTTTTTTGTCATGTTTTTATATGTTGTATTCACTTTTTAACCACCCTGTCATGTGATCTGAAGGTCCTTGCAGAGAGTGACCAGTTAAGGAAAGAAGCAGATGACCTGGGCCCCCGTGCAGAGCTTGACCACTGGAAGAAACGCATGTCCCGTTTCAACTACCTGCTGGACCAGTTGAAGAGCCCTGAGGTCAAAGCTGTGTTGGGGGTTCTTATTATAGCCAAGTCCAAACTGATTAAGGTTAGTTGATGATTTATATATCATTATTAGTTGTCGGGTGAAAGAGACAATAGCTAGGGCATTTGTCTTATAAGGTAAATTTGTTTTATAATTGAGTTTTCGTGAATGTTCTTTCCTTTTTCACAATGACTTTTTCATTTTCATTTCAGTAATGCCATTGCTTGAGCTGTTTTTGCCAGTCAGTTTGAGGTCTAATTTGAGGTCTAAAATATTTGCCTCCGCAGGTTTGGCGAGAACTAGACATCAGAATCACTGATGCGGCAAATGAGGCCAAAGACAATGTGAAGTACCTGTACACCCTTGAGAAGTTCTGTGACCCGCTGTACAACAGCAACCCTGTAAGGCTTATTCTGCAGTTACTAAATTTGTGCCATACAAAAATAGGAAATAAAATCATACTGCTCAGCATCTTGTGTAGATACTATAGAAAATTATTTATATATATATATATATATATACCACTGAAAGAAACGCATATTTGTGAGTTCGTATTTAATTATGTACATAATGCCTGTAGCAGTGTGTTATAACTAGTTTATAAAGTTTGTTATACAGAGTTTAATACACCCTGTCATAATACTGTGGTCATGGTGCATCTTTATAGGTGTCCATGGTAGAAGCTATTCCTGGGCTTATAAATGCAATACGTATGATCCATAGCATCTCACGTTACTACAACACCTCAGAGAAGATCACTTCCCTTTTTGTCAAGGTAAGAGTGAGGTGACTCCCAAGATAGCTAAATTTAATTTCACAGGCTTAATACTTTAAACTGGAAATATTATCTTTCTCCTTAGGTTACGAATCAAATGATTACAGCCTGTAAGGCCTATATTACAAATAATGGCTCGGCAACCATATGGGATCAGCCGCAGGAAGTGGTATCCGAGAAGCTTAAAGCGGCCATTCGCTTGAATCAGGTACAATATGACATTTAGCTGGAAGATGTGTATATATACTTATATATACTTATACTTGTGTATATATATATATATATATATATATATGTAATACAGCTCTATGAGCACGTCTGCTGAACACTGCCTTTGAACACACCACTTAACCTTCATCCACAGCTTCCTTTTTCTACATTTGTCTATTCCATTTTGCCAAGACACAGATTTTACTAAGCTTTAAGGCTCTGATGTTCATTCCTTTTAGACAAAGATAAACACAAGAAGAACACATAACCAGTCAACATAAATATTATTTGTGCTAGCATGAAGTCTAGTGTGACTTTATTTAGTTCAACTTCAATGTCATGACCTTGTAAAGCCAATAAACTCTGTATCTTTATCTGCAAGATTCCCAGAAATGGACATGACAGACGTTATACCTGAAAATTGATAATTTAGACAATTCCACAGCTCAAATGATAACCTTTTTTTCTACTAAATATATGATTTAAAATTACAAGCTTCACATTAATGTGGCTCCATTTTTACTTATTTATTTAGTGTTCATCTGCTATACACCACATTTGAACACTATACTTAACCTTCATCCCTTTTAGGGAAAATACAAGAAGAACACAAATAAGTTTAACACACAAATGTAGTTACATTTTATTTTGATATAATGAATATATCGATTGTTGCTTTAGGGGAAAAAAGTGTCTACCAGATGAATAAACTGTAAACACAAATTTTTGTGTCCAATAATTTAGGAATACCAGAAATATTTCCAAAAAACCAAGCAGAAGCTGGAGGAGAATCCCTTGGAGCGTCAGTTTGACTTTAGCGAGATGTACATCTTTGGCAAGTTTGACACGTTTCAGCGACGGCTGAACAAAATTCTAAACATGTTTAGCACCATTTCCACCTACAATGCCCTGCAGGACTCCAAAATTGAGGGACTGGAAACCATGGCAACCAGATTTCAGGTATCATGATCATGATGTAGTAGTCAGGGTGGTCTATTTTTAGATTTGCCCAGAAGACAAAAGAACATACCCAGAAGATAATAGTGTAATTACTGGCATAGGTCAGTATAAGTTGCCTTCTTTAGTGGCATATAAATGTTTAATTTGGATGAGGCATTTATTAGTGAACTAAAATAATTGTATAAGCTGAAATTTAATGAGAGTTTGCCAAACACCTCAGTTTGTGCAGTCATAACAAGAACCATATTATACACAGTTTGGGGTATAATTAGAATTTATTAATATCATTGTAATGTACTGTTCATAATGGTAATGTGTCATAGGGTGAATACTGTTAAAGTGGGACACTTTTGGATAATTTGCTATTGCTGTAGAACTACAAATGGTTACATGTCATTCCATAATATTTTGGGATGAACTTAAAGGGATAGTCCACCCAAAAATGAACATTCTGTCATCATTTACTCAACCTCATGTCATTCCAAAGCTGTATGCATTTCCTTCTGCTGAAGACAAAAGAATATATTTTGAAGAATGTTGATGACCAAACATGATTGACTTCCACTGTAATATTTCAATGGGAAGTCAAAGGCAACTGCCAATTTGGAACGACATGAGGGTAAGTAAATGATGACAGATTTTTCATGTTTGGATGGACTATCCCTTTGATGTCCAGGATTGGAAGAATATATGCATAATGATAAATATTAATTTATATGAATTTAATTTATATTAATATTGTCCTACTTTACCTGTATCCCCTTACCTGTATACAACTGTACAATTTTGATGGAGGTTTGATTCAATATATAACAATTTTCTGGCTATAATTAGCATTCTTAACATGGACTAAGTGGTATTTGTTCTCTCTGCTGCCTACCGTGGACAGACTGCAGATATGCTGGGGAAATGGGAGGTAACTGTAAAGGAAAAACCTGTTTTTAACATAATGCATGTCTCATAATGGAGCGTTAAGCAGCATGGGAACTAAAGCCATGTCTTTGACTTATAAGTAGTAACTGCCCTTTCACGCTAATCTGACATCAGTATTGTAGTTTATTTTAGAATGACAAAGGCTATGATTTAGGTTGGCAGGCCGGTCCTGGATTTGCATGAAAGGGCAAATATTACCTTTAGATTTAACCTAGTATTGTTGTACTGTGAGTCCATTAACATTCATTGCATCTCTTTATTCCAGTCACAAGCTTATTTATTCACTCTCATTTTTTGTGTCCATGGAAACAAAGTTCAGACCCAGAGGACTCTATGCTCCAGGAGGACTGAATAATTGAACAAATGCTGATAAAGATCTATTGCTAACTCCCGTTCTTTGTGAAAGTTGACAGTCTGTAGGAGTCAATTAATATTTTACAACAAACTGCTCCTCTGGCCATTTAAGGTGTTCTGGTACACACTGCTGAGTGCTGTTGTAGCAAACGACTGAATATTTACCTTTCCAACTGGAAATGCTTTTTCTACAAGATATTTTTTTTATCAAAAGCCTGTTACAGGAATACTTCACTAAGAAAATTATATAAGAATTTTCCTACTCTCATGTTATTCCAAGCCTGTAAGACTTTAATATTTTTGAGGAACACGTGGCTTCAGTAGACTTGAAAGTTAGCACACAAGTTGTATGGACTACTTTTATGGTCTTTTTTGTTCATTAGGAGCTTGGCACTGGTTACTATGATTGTTATATTGAAATAAGCAGTGTGAACATTTATTTTTGTGATCCATATAACAATTAATAAACAATCTTGAACAATATGAGGTTGAATAAGCAATGACATAATAAATTATATAAATTTTTAGGTGAACTATACCACATTTCAAGATAGTTTTAAGATTTCTTTTTAATCAAACCACATCTCTGGCAACTACAAGTTTCTTTGTTTTTGGCAATTATATTGTCCTCTGAATGTCCAGGCCATTGTGTTGACCATGAAGAAAAAACAGTACAGTTTCCTGGACCAAAGAAGGACAGACTTTGATCAGGACTATGATGAATTTTGTAAACAAACGAGTGAACTTCATGTAAGTATTTTTCCAGTTTTGTACATTTTTTATTTATTTATTTTATTATTATATATATTTTTTGCTATAAAATGACTTATGCTTTAAATATTTATTTCTAGAACCAACTGAAAACTTTCATGGACAACACATTTGACAGAATTCAAAATACTGAGCGGGCTTTATATGTGCTCAAGAAATTTGAAAGGTAATATGTAATTATTTTGTTTTTAATAACAAAATAACAAGGGTGATGTATATGTTTGGAGTTGGTAAGAAATGGGTAGCACTTTAGATTAGGGAGCACTATTTACTATTAATTACTTGCTTATTGCATGCATATTACTAGCATATCGGCTGTTTATTAGTACTTTTAAAGCACATATGAATGCCTTATTTTGCATGACCATATTCTAGATCCCTTAACCCTACCCAATACCTAAACATAACTACTACAACAACTGCCTTATTAACTATCAATAAGCAGCAGATTGGGGGTTTATTGAGGGAAAACTCCAAGTTAATAGTGAATATGTGTTCCTTAATCTAAAGGGATACCAAGAATTATAATGTTTCTGTTGCTGCATTTACTGTATCAAAAAATACAGTGATTCTGTGAAATTTTATAGCAATTTTGAAAAACAGATTTAATATATTTTAAAATGTAACTTTTTCCTGTTATTGCACAGCTGAATTTTCTGCAGTCATTACTCCAGTGTTCAGTGTCATATGATCCTTCACACATTCTAATATGCTGATTTGGTGCCCAAGAAACATTTATTATTACTATAACAGTTGGAGATGGTCGTGCTGCTTAATATTTTTGTGGAAACTATGTTTTTTAATGGTTTATTTGATTTATTTTCCTTGAATATTTAAAAGCAAAACAATTATTTGGAATTTTTAAAAACTATTTATTTATTTATTTTCCACATTTTGCACTACACACATTCCCCGTCATTTTCATATTCACCAGGCTTGGCATCTCAGACTTGGGCATCAGTGAGAAGTACCAGAAAATTCTGCAAAACTTCGGAAGGGACATTGAGATGGTCTATCGAATTTACACCAAGCAGAAGACAGACCCCCCCATTGCTCCAGACCTCCCTCCGATCGCAGGGAGGATCCTGTGGGCTCGGCAGCTGTACAGCTGCATCCAGGAGCCCATGGATCTCTTCCAGGAGATGCCTGGGCTACTCAGCACTCCAGATGCCAAACCCATCATTCGAAATTACAACCGGGTAGCCAAGGTGCTGCTGGAGTTTGAGGTGCTTTATCATCAGAACTGGATGGCACAGGTCAGTTGTCTTATAGAGTCAAAATAAGGTACTGTTGACTGCTTGCTTTAGACACATTTGGCACTTTGCTCATGTGCCACTTTCACTTGGTGATGTGTTTTAATTTTCTTACCCTGTAATTGTTAATTTATTTACTTTCCTCCCTTTTTAGATTATATACATGTTTTTTTAAATAAATATTTTATAGATTTTTATAGAAATCAATTCTGGTCATCTTTAAAGACTTGCAATAATTAAATGAATTAAATGCAATTTTATCTTTGTTTTAACTAAACAGCCAGTCATATTCATCCATTGTGTCTATAGACTGAAGCAGTCAAAGTGGGCCTGCAAGCCTCTTTGCTCGTCAAGAGTCCAGAAACTGGGGAGCTGTACGTGAACTTTGACCCCCAGATCCTGACCCAGATTCGAGAAACAGACAGTATGCTAGGAATGGGATTGGAGATTCCACCCTTTGCAGCCATCTTGCAGCAGAAAAAGGATGTTCTCAAAAAGAACTACAATAAACTTCAGGTATATCAACTAAGGCATGCATCACTGTTACTACTGTTATTATTGCTGATGGTTATAGATATAGTTCAGTCATGACAACTCTCAGAGTAGTTTGGCATGGCGATGTATATGACAGTGTTAATGTGTTTGGTCTAGGTGGAATAAATCTGCAGAGCAAGCACAGATAATTGCTACTGTCAGTATATCCACAGACATGCTGCTGTGACCATGTAAGGCATGCTGCTGCCGCTGTACATATAACATACATTAAATTACCTGTAGCAGATCTATATGGGTGGAGCCGGGGGAGGTGGAGGGTTTCTGAAATAAACTATGGTCACACTTTAGTTTGGGGACCAATTCTCACATTTAAGTAACTATTAACTATGGCATTTGCCTCAATAAATTTTAATTTGCTGCTTATTAATAGCCAGTAAGGTAGTTGTTAAGTTTAGGTGTGGGTTATAAGGGATCTAAAATATTGTTATGCAGAATAAGGCATTAATATGTGCTTTGTAAGTACTATTAAACTGCCACTATGCTATGTAATATGCATGCTAATAAGCAACTAGATGGAGAGAATTAGCCCCTAAACTAAAGTGTTAACCAAACTATTAAAAGTTAAGTAGCAAGCTCATTGGCTGCAGAATCAGCAGATGCCAGTCAACTTGTGCCATGCTGGATGATGTCATTGTTTATAGATTGCATTAAGAACCTATCAGCCTGTGCCATGACGAGTTTCATGACTGAACTAGATATTTCACCTTCTAAGTTTTTTTCATCATTTACTCAAGTCATTCCAAACCTGTAAGACTTTTGTTCATTTTCATAACACAAATGAAGATATTTTTAATATTCTCTCGTCATTTTTGTCCATCCTCTGAGAGTTCACAATTTTCTTTGCTTGTGTTCTGTTGCCTTGTTTGTTCCTTGCTTCAGTTGATGGTGAGAGAGAATTCCAGAGTGAGGTCTAAGATCCAGCCAGCCTTTGAACAACTGCTCATGCCACATGTGGCTAAAGTAGATGAGGCCATTCTGCCCGGTCTGACCTCCCTCAATTGGACCTCTCTAAACACTGAGAAATACCTTAATCGAATCACTACTGCACTTGGTGAGAGACTCCACTTTACAGCTGATTTCCATGACCACATTTGGAACATACAGTACAGTAAATGGCCACAAGTACAATATGTGGACACCCAATTATATACTTGTTGAACATTTAATGTCAAGGCCACTGGCATTAATAGGAAGCTGGTCCTCACAATGTCGTTAAAACAGCTTCTAATCTTCTTGGAATACTTTGCACTTTATGTGGGAACATGCCTGCTAGGATTTGCTGCCATTCAGAAGCAAGCATTAGTGTTTACAAAGGAATGTCCACATACTTCCGGCATTGTTGTGTACATAAGATGTTTGTAAATGTGCAGAGTATGATTAGATATTTGAAATGAAAAGGTTCTTTCTCCTGGTTCACAGAGGACCTTGAACTTCTGCTGCAAAGAGTGAATGATCTGGTGGAGTTTAGAATCGACACGGTTCTGCAGGAAATGAGCATGACTACGCTGTGTGTGTTGCCTGAAGATGAGACATGCACCTGCGAGGAGTTTGTACAGACCACCAAGGTACACACATACATATACATAAAAAATGTCATATTATGTATTCATAGCAACATGCTGTTATTTTTCAGAGGATATTGAGGCAGAACCAATTCCACTTGCTAAAGTATATAAATGCAGATCAGTGAAATTATAGGACTCTTTCAACTATTTGACGTGGTGGTAAATTTGTACGATGTGATTTGTACAGAAACTGTTCTTATTCACTTTCAGTCTTTTAGTTTCATGAGGGCCATTGCCAGGTGGGTACAGCTTTTTATTTAGTCAGAATGCCTACCAAATTTTAGGGGAAACCCGTTTGGGAACTGGATTGAGTCAGTACTGCAGATAATGTACAAAGACTGGAATTTTTACATTTTTTTCATTACATTTTGTTATCAAAATGGTACCAAAAAACAGTACTTTTGACAACCCTACTCTATAGTATTTGTTGGTGTCTCGTTACCACTGCCATTTGCTATTCCATCTTTTTAAAACCCAATTTCTTGTCACCTGGACCATAAAGATATAATCAATCGGAATACAGAAATAATCAATTTGATCATGCTCACTGAATTTATTTCCTATTTTAGGAGCTTTGCATCAAAGGAGCCCAAATGCTGCATACCAAAAGCTCATTGGTGGAGGAGGCAGCCAATGAGCTGATTAATATGTTACTGGAATTTGAGCAGAAGGATGAAGAAGAGAGAAACCGGGATGAGAGCAGAACAGAAAGCAAAGTGGAACAGATGGACAGTGATGGTAAGAGCTGCTGAGCTGGACGATGACATCACTGAATCAACAATAAACTGACTTTAACTTATAAACTGATTGTTTTCAATTGTCCTCTTGCATTATCAGCACACATTTTCCTGTTTAACACTGTAAAGCTGCTTTGACACAATCTCTACTGTATAAAGCACTATATAAATAAAAGGTGACTTGACTTGACTTGACTTAACATGGTTCTCAGTGTTAAAGGATGAATCTCAAAATCTTAATATCACGGTTGAAAAGGGTTCAAATATGCAGAAAATGCAGGAAAACCAAAGAATGTGCAGGACCAGGCCTTATTAATGCATAGTAGCTCCTCATATTCCAAGTGCTTATAGTAATATTTTGTGATCATTTCTATTTTGTTTATCCAAAGGAGAGGAGGAATCTAAATCAGAGGGCCGTCTCTTGTCACGTAGCACCATGGCCCCTAGTGTTGGCCCCTCTTCTCCGCTGATGAGAAAGAAGAAAAAGAAGGATCTGATGAAGGTGATGGAGGAGGAGGCAAAGGAGCTGCTGTCTCATTTCAACCATCGAAACGTGGATGCATTACTGCGCCTTACCCGTAACACACTGGAGACTCTACGCAAACGCATCCATGCGTCATCACTGATGCATTTCCTGGGTTTGTGAAGTCACTTCCTTCAGTGGTTTTACTGATAATACTTTAGTACATTTATTTTTGGTTTATTTAAAAAGGGTTTTGATTAAGTCAAAGGTTTATTTATTTATTTATTTTGCATTAGCACAATTTCTATTGTCAATTAGAATAGCACTTCTCACACAGTTGTTACTTTCAAACAGAGCAGCTTTCTGTTGATCAGTGTGACTGTAACGATGAGTCAGAAGAGTGAGGATCCATCTGCAGCTTTATTATCACAATGATTAATACAGTACGGAGGCAGCAACACAGAAGAGGCAGAGAATTTACAGTCCAGAGAACAGGCGAGAGATCGGAACAGGCAGATTAACATTCACAAACCAGAGAACAGGCATGAGGTCGGGGCAGGCAGATAAACAATCACAGTCCAAGTAACAGGCAGAGGGTCGAGGCAGGCAGCAAGGACCTTGAGAGTACAGTCCAGATTCAACCACAGATAAGGTAATCCACAGAAGAACGCTCAGAATTGACAACTGTAGCAAATCAAGACTTCGCAATGAGAGTGTGAGTGAGCAGTGCTTAAATGCGTATTTGAGTGAGTGACTAATTGGATGTAGGTGTAGTGCAATCAGTCCCAGGTATGAAGGCTGATGGGAATTGAAGTCCGAATCAAAACAGTCAATATTCATGTGATGGTTCCCTCTGGTGGTGCAAGAGAGGCAGTACGGGAACCTCACTTGTAACAGTGACAAATTCATAGAACCAATTTGAAAATGAGCAAAATCACAGTGGGGAGCTTTTTTGACCCTACCTTTATATTTATTTTCAAAGCATGAAGCTTCATATAATCACTTGGTTGGTCAACTCTAACTCATTGTTATTAAATTTAACTTCCCATGCAGCAGATGCAGACTCCTCAATTCGGCAGAGGGGAAGTGGGCAGCAGCCCATCTTTAGGGTGGGAGTGTGTTTAGCCATCCCCAACATCATCACGGTTCCAGGGCTAGATGAGGTTCAGCAAGCCTTGAACAGAGCTGTGGACTGTGTGGTCAGCGTCAGTAAAGGAGTTGGACAGTGGAGCAAGGAGAGAATTTCCAAGGTATTTATTTAGTTATGTATATATTTATTTATTTATTTATTTTCAATTTAGTACACTGAGATGGGTCATTGTTAATACACTTATCTGCTAAATCTCATTCTTAGTGCCAGTAATATGAGTAATTGATATTACAAATTACAAAAAGTCCAAGCATTTTTTTTAGCTTTTAGCCCATGTGTGTTTGCTTAAAGGGCTATCTGACTCAATTAACTTTTAAGAGATATACGCATTTACATTTTTTTTTATGCTGAGTGCAAATAGCCAACCTTGATGGCAAAGGCAAATATGCCCTGAAACACATTTCCTTTTCAGGTCACCAAGGCCTCTTATTTTTCACCTCATCCTCTTGATAAAAAGTCCCACCTGGCATTCTTTTTTGTTAAAAATCCTGTTTCACTTGAAAATGTCACATTATATAAGGAAAATGGCTTTCAAGTGACATTTCATGTTGAGTTTGAGTAGCCTATAGTGTGCCTTACCTATTTTATTCACCTTTTGTTCTCATACTCTGTAATTATTTTGCTTTCTTGAACTGACATGATCTCAGAAGTTGCCATACAAAATCTATGTAGTTCTTGTTTGAGTGTAATGTATGCAAAATGTCAGACTTGCGTATTTTTGCTGTCACAGAGGAAAATGAGTGAGCGACGCATGGCCGCTCTGAAACAGAACAGCCAAGAGAGTGAATCAGAAGATGGCGATTCGACCTATCGCAGCCTAGCCGGTACAACTCTTTCCCACCCTCTGTAATTATACAGCTAAGCAGAGCAAATCAAGAAATAACAGGTCTTTGGTCAGTTTAAAATTTGTCTTTATAATGGTTGAAAATTGAAGCTCTGGATGGATACGTTCATCTCCAGTCATTTGACAAATAAAACTGTGGAATAAAGATAATGAATGCAGAAAGTGGGTGTGATTTTGTAAAGTGGTGACATGTCCCTAGCATCTCGGTAACAATCTTATCCACAACGTTTATTCTCTCTCCATCGCTCCCTCTCAGAATAAGGAAACTGACACAGAATTGACAGAGTACAGCAGTGTCACAACAACATATCTCTTCTTACTGTAATGAAGCAGCTCTCCCTGTAAACCCTTCATCCCCTGAAACAAATTAAAGATAAAGGGTCCTTCATATAACTGTTTTGAGCCAAAAAGATAATATTTCTGAATCGTGTTTTTCAGAGACATTCTTGTCTCACAGCTCCTGTCTGCTCTTGTTTATTAACCTTCTCATCTTTGAACATTTTGTTCTTTCAGAAGGCAGTACCTCAGATATATCAGCATCTGCAAACCAGGTCATTCCCATCCAAATTAAGAACTACCACAAAAGCATCTCTGAGAACAAAGAGATTGTCAAGCTGGTCTCTGTGCTTAGTACGTCCATCAACTCCACCAGGAAGGTCTGTTTTAGTTTCTTTCTTTCTTTCTTTCTTTCTTTTCTTGAATCTGGATATTCAAGTCAGAAATATGAATGTCCCATGGGGGCAAGTCTGTATAGCTTTAATTGAATGTGTTTGTTTTATTTGGTTGTGTTTATAACGTGACAATGTGATATTTTATGGTGTATAACATGTAATGTATGATACTTCTCATGTACTGTTACACAGGAAAAAGTGACCGCTCTGGATCGCTTCAGCCTCTATCACCACATCTGGAAGAAAGATCGAGAGGAAACCATCCAGAAATTCATCCAGGGGAACCCTCTTCTTTCTGAATTTGAGTCTCAGATTCTATACTACAGGGATCTTGAGCTAGAAATTAATGCAGAGCCTGAATTTATCTCAGTAGGAGCTCTGGCACTATATACAGGTAGACAGACTCTGAATCAGTAGAAACTGAGCATGCTAATAGTGATTGAGAGGTTAACATACAGATAAGAGGTTTGTTTATTTAAATGGCACAAATAATGATTGCAGCAATGGTGTGTGAACATGCTTAATTTTGCTGTTCTTGTTTCTAGACTATTATTTACTTTTACTTTTACTTTTAGTCATTTAGCAGACGCTTTTATCCAAAGCGACTTACAAATAAGAAAAAGTAATTAAAACTAAAAGCTAAAACTCTATAAATACTATATATATACACACATTTAAGAAAATAAAAGAAATTAAATAAAAATGACAAATGCATACAACAACACTTCAAAACTAAAACATTTAAATTTAAATTTAGCATTTAAAATACGTTTTTGGATGTGTGCGGACCTTCTCTTTTGCACATGCAACGTTTCACTAGTTTGCTCCCTTGATGCCTGCCCTCAGTGCTCTCTAAATGCCAACAGCTCGCTTGCT